TTAGTATTATACAAGATTTGTGCTTGTTTATTGTAATAAACAAAAGTGGTAAACAATAATATGATAATAACTTTAGTGCAGTTATTGTGTTCAATACAGTGAGTTTATATATATACATTATATACAGTATTGGTCTCTCAGGCCCCAAATGTTAGTAGGAAAAGAAAAAAATTAGAAAAGAAAACATGACTCAAGAAATCGTAATGATACGATTGCAAATAAACCATACCCCCGGCCGGGATTGAACCCGCAGTCATAGAGTCTCAAAACTCCAGCCCGTCGCGTTAGCCACTAGACCAGCTAGCCACAATAAGATTCATCCAACTAGGTATATTTCTACACCATAGGAAGGTTAGCACAGGCACCTCTGTGACCACAAATGCAAGTTTTTACAGACGAATCTCCAGCTAGCGTGGCCGTGACGAACTCTAGCTCAAGTCCCTTCACTGCCGTCAACATGACTCAAGAAATCGTAATGACACAGTGAAGGGACTTGAGCTAGAGTTCGTCACGGCCACGCTAGCTGGAGATTCGTCTGTAAAAACTTGCATTTGTGGTCACAGAGGTGCCTGTGCTAACCTTCCTATGGTGTAGAAATATACCTAGTTGGACGAATCTTATTGTGGCTAGCTGGTCTAGTGGCTAACGCGACGGGCTGGAGTTTTGAGACTCTATGACCGCGGGTTCAATCCCGGCCGGGGGTATGGTTTATTTGCAATCGTGTCATTACGATTTCTTGAGTCATGTTGACGGCAGTGAAGGGACTTGAGCTAGAGTTCATCACGGCCACGCTAGCTGGAGATTTGTCTGTAAAAACTTGCATTTGTGGTCACAGAGGTGCCTGTGCTAACCTTCCTATGGTGTAGAAATATACCTAGTTGGATGAATCTTATTGTGGCTAGCTGGTCTAGTGGCTAACGCGACGGGCTGGAGTTTTGAGACTCTATGACCGCGGGTTCAATCCCGGCCGGGGGTATGGTTTAGAAAAGAAAAGAAAAAAACTACAAAAAACGTTAAATAAAGTAATGCGTGTATGTGGAAATCGTCAATGTTGCCGCCACCCAGTCATTTTGGGTAAACTTCTCAGCACTGTATCTCAGTAAGTACTGATCAGAATTTTTTTTTTTTGTCTTATTACCTTCACAAAAATATACTCTTTAATTCTGTATGAATTTTTTTTTTTTTTTTTTTCAAAATTTCTTGGACACTGGAGCACCACTTCAGATTTTGGCCTTGGACCCTGAAAGGGTTAAGAAGTACATAGAGGCTGAAAAATTAAAATCCCAACAAGTGTTTAATTGTGACAAAACAGGCCTGTTTTGGAAGAAAATGCCAAACAGGACCTACATTACTCAGGAGGAAAAGGCACTCCCAGGACACAAGCCTATGAAAGACAGGCTCATTCTAATGTTGTGTAGTAATGCTAGTGGGGATTGCGAAGTGAAGCCTTTACTTGTGTATCATTCTGAAGCTCCTAGAGTGTTCAAGAAAAACAATATCATCAAGACTAAATTGTGTGTGATGTGGAGAGCAAACAGTAAGGCATGGGTCACTAGAGACATGTTTACTGACTGGTTCTATGACATGTTTGGCACCACTGTGAAAAAGTACCTCCTGGAAAATAAATTGGACCTCAGGTGCCTCCTGGTAATGGACAATGCTCCTGCTCATCCTCACGACTTGCAAGAGCAAATTGTGGGGGAGTGGAGCTTCATCAAAGTGAAGTTCTTGCCTCCTAATACCACTCCTCTCCTCCAGCCCATGGACCAGCAGGTCATTTCAAATTTCAAAAAACTGTACACCAAAGCAGTGTTTCAAAAGTGCTTTGAAGCAACCTCAGATGCTCAATTGACCCTAAGAGAGTTCTGGAAAGATCACTTCAGTATCCTCAGTTGCATAAACCTTATAGGTAAGGCCTGGGAGGGAGTGAATTGCAGGACTTTGAACTCTGCTTGCAGAAAATTGTGGCCACAATGTGTACAAGAGAGGGATTTTGAGGGGTTTCGGGCTGACCCTAAGGAGCCTATGCCAGTTGTGGAATTTATTGTAGCATTGGGGAAGTCCATGGGGTTGGAGGTTAGTGGCAAGGATGTGGAAGAGTTGGTGGAGGATGACAATGAAGAGCTAACCACTACAGAGCTGCAAGAGCTTCAGGTGCATCAGCAACAGATCAAAGCTCAGTTATTTCCCTCAGAGGTGGAGGAAGAGAGATGGAGGAAGTTGCCTTCATCAAAGATTAAGGAAATGTGTACAATGTTTACAAAGGTGCAAGAATTTATGGATGAATATTATCCTGACATAGCTGCTGCAAGCCGTATTGGCAACTTGTACAATGACACTCTTGTGGCCCATTTTAGGGAAATCTTAAAGGGACATAAGAAACAGAGCTCTCTGGACACATATTTTGCATGACAGGGGTCCAGTGACTCTCAAGCTGGGCCTAGTGGCATTAGTATTTTATAACATGTAAACCACACAATACCCAAAACATGTAAACCCCACATTGTAACCCTTATAGAGAATAAACTTGAATTTAATTGAACTGACTTGAATTGAAAAGAACAAAGAAGGGAGGTAACCCCAGAAAAGGACTTGTTACCTGAAGTCTTTATGGGATTCCCCTTTCAAACAATAAAACACCTGCATCATCTGTCCTCCTACAGTCTCATCACTCATCAACAATTCCACAATAAAGTGTCATTTTAGTCATGTTTATTGTGCATGTAACATTGTGTTCTGTGTAGGAAAATGTATATTTCATGTGAAAAAAAAAAAATCATACTTTTGGGTGTCTGGAAAGGATTAATTGGATTTCCATTATTTCTTATGGGGAAAATTAATTCGTTTAAAAGCTAAATCGGTTAAATCCTAGCTCTCTGGAATGGATTAAAGGCATTAGCTGAGGGTCCACTGTACCAGGAAACAACACCTGCTATACAAAACCTTCCTCGAACTCCTCAGGAAATACCCAAGCATTTGAGGAGGGAAGGTTATCACTTCCTAATACAGCTTCCTGCAACTAAGAAGACATGGGCTCAGAAGAGATGTGTTGTCTGTACACAAACAAAATGACAGCAACAACGATGCAAAGACACTCGATTTATGTGTGAAGAATGTAAGGTACCGCTGTGCATGATACCTTGTTTCAAGGACTTCCACAGACTGCAGCAGTTCTTGAAACATGTCCAGTGAGTCTACATATGTAAATATATAATAGAACATTAGTAATATACAACATTTGTGCATGTTTATTGTTGTAAAAAATACTGGTAAACAATATTATAATAATAACTTTAGTGCAGTTATTGTGTTCAATACAGTGAGTGTATATATATATATACATTATATACAGTATTGGTCTCGCAGGCCACAAATGTTACAAGAAAAAAAAATAGAAAAGAAAGAAAAAAAGTATAAAAAACGTAAAATAAAGAAATGCGATTTTGCAGAAGTCGCTGATGTTGCCTCCACCCGGTCATTTTGGGTCAACTTCCCTCCTCTATATCTCGGTAAGTACTGATCAGAATTTTTTTTTTGTTTTATTACCTTCACAGAATTATTATTTTTAATTTTCTAAGAATTTTTTTTTTTTTTTTTTCAAAATTTCTTGGACACTGGGGCACCCCTTGAGATTTTGTCTTTGGACCCTGAAAGGGTTAGAAAATATACTATATATTTACGTATTTTGTGTTCAAAGCATCTGACACGCTAATTATAAGTAATTAAAAACTCAAGGCGAGGTGTCATGAGAGCGAGAGGCAAGATACGCATTTTTGTTTACAAGGTACCAGTCTACTCCAGTAGTTAAGAACGATAATAAATTTGTTGAGTTAGGCATAAGAATTAACAACTGGGCGTCTACACTGCAAACTGAATTGTTTGCAATCCTAATGGCGCTAAAGCTAACCTATGACACTGAGCTTGACTCTATCATCATTACTGATTCTATGTCATCACTGAAGGCTCTTGATCTCATATAATGACTCCAACAACATGCTCATTGGGGAAGCCAGGTATAGATACTCAAAAATTAGGGACAAAGGAATTAATGTACAATTGCTATGGATCCCATCACACATTGGATTACTCCTTCATGATAAAGTTGATATGTTAGCCAAGAAGAGTATCGAGAAGGAGAATGTAGAATATAACTTTGGTATAACTGTGTCTAGCATTAGGAATAATATTAGGAGAGAAGTAAATAATGAAAATGATTGTTATAGGAATGCAGTTAGAAGCCTGAGTAGATCTATAACCCACACTATGATAACATGAACGTAGATAAGTATGTTTATGGAGCAACTTGCAATGTGAACAGACTGACTGATGTTGTAGTGGCCAGGCTTAGGCTTGGTTACAAGTACTTCTGGCAGTTTGGGAGACACACAGATGATGATCAAACTAAATGTAAATTATGTGATCAGGCATATGGTCACTCTCTTGAACACTATGTGCTTAATTGTCCACTTATTGAGGAATACAGAGACAGACAGTATAATAACCTATGTGACATGTCAAGATATCTTATTAATGAAAATAAGATACCAGATATACTAAGCAAATTTCCTAAATTTGCTTGTAACAGATAAGTGAACTATAGATATGTAGATATAAATCCATATGTATTCCTGTTAACCCTTTGGGGCCTAGTTCCTAGGCCTTTTGTGTATCCATATGCTCTCGCGCTACCGTCCACAGGATGGATATGGGGTGCACAATAAACTAGCCACTTCGGTGGCAAAATCTAAAAATCCAGTAGCCTTCTTTACAAGGTACCAGTCTACTTCAATAGCCTTCTTTACAAGGTACCAGTCTACTTGAGTAGCCTTCTTTACAAGATACCAGCCTACTTCAATAGCCTTCTTTACAAGGTACCAGTCTACTTGAGTAGCCTTCTTTACAAGATACCAGCCTACTTCAATAATAAGTACAAGAAAAGTGACTGACCTCTAATTAGGTGTCGGTCTACTTCAGTAACAAGTACAAAAAAAGTGACTGACCTCTAACTTTGGCCTGTGGTAGTGGGAGATAACACACATAATAATTACGAAGACAAGCAGGATGGCCAACACCACCGCTACCAACACCCACCAACCACTCCAGCCTGGCACTTTAGCAGGTTCTGCAAGAACATACCAAGTTTACTGCAAATGATCACAGTACACAATGAAGATAAGATTTAACCCTTAAACTGCCCAAGCAGATCTACGTTCACATGTGTAGTGCTCCAAAAGTAGATCTACGTTTTTATACATATTTTCAAATATAACAAAAAAAAAAGTAGATCGAAGTTTTTTTACACGTTTTCAAATGTAAAAAAAAAAAGATGATTTACTTTTTTTACATACTTTCAAATGTTGAAAAAACATAGATCTACGTTTGGACAGTTTAAGGGTTAATATTAACTTTCACAACATTAGATAAGAAAACGTAAAATTTATCTGAACTTTGAATACAAAGGTGTAATGCCCACAGTAAAAAGAAAATAAAGTTGTGTGGAGCAAACTTGATTGTATAGAGTGATATTTTCTTACGAAGTGGAGTGAATGATGTGGTGAAACTCTACATAGAGTGAAACGTTGCTACAATTAATACTTATTCTACACCAATGTCTTTCCTTCATGACTAACTCAATATATATGCTTGAATATAAACATATTAGCACAATAATGCAGTATTTATGAAAGGAATGTTGAAACAAATTTTCCAGATGTGAATTCTGGGGGTGAGAAATAATATAGAATATTTGAAGCTCAATTTGAGAGACGATTAAAAATGTTGTGTTATCAGTGACTTCTGATGTCGAGGCCATAAAAAATATGATTTTTCATGAGTGGTACAAAAAAAAAGTTACAGTAGTTTCACATTTCAATTAACTGTGCTGTAGATATTGATCTAGGTATAAAACAGATATACAGTGGTCCCTCGATAATCATAAGGCTCGATGGTCGTAATTTTCGAAAATCGTAACGTTATTTTCATCAAAATATTGGCTCGTGAATCGTCATTCAACTCACAAATAGTCGTTCGTCTGGGACGCGTACACGGCCCTGAGCCACCTCACACTCCATTCCCAGCCAGTGTGCCATTGTTTATCAGTGGGTGAGGATGATCCCACGAGTTCATATGATACATTTCATAATATTCCATTTATTTTAGTGCTTGCAACTGCTAAATAAGTCACCATGGCTCCAAAGAAACCTTCTAGTGCCAGCCCTTTGGTAAAGAATGTGAGAAACACATATAATTTAAGAAAAAGTTTGTAGAAAAATACGAAAGTGGTGGTGGTAGAGTGGAAGCAGTTGTGATAGTGGGTGATGGTGGTAGAAGGTGGTAGTGATGGTGGTAGCAGTTGTAATAGTGGTAGAAGGTGGTAGTGATGGTGGTAGCAGTTGCAATAGTGGTAGAAGGTGGTAGTGATGGTGGTAGACAGTGGTAGTGGTTGTGATGGGGGTGGAGGATGCCTTCTTCAGTAATTCAGCGATACTACTAACTCCTCTAATGTTGTTGGAGTCATATAGGGCTACAGAAAACACCACTGCCTCAGCTGCTGCTTCACCACCATTATGGATGGCTTACTCTCAGTGGCCCTTATACACCCAACAACACAACACCTCTCGTGACATACATAATGACTTATTTTACTCATTCTAGAGTATATTCCATGTTTCTATGTTATTAATATTGTTTATTATGTCACATTAGTTGAATTGTGATAGATAAATAAGTCATAGAGTTGATATTAGTGTCATATTCTCCAACAATAAATTCGCCATCCCTCCCTCACACAACCAAGTCTTCAATAAAGGTAAGTGTGATGTTAAATAAGAACATAAGAACTTAAGAAAGGAGGAACACTGCAAAAGGCCTAGTGGCCCATACTAGGCAGGTCCTTCACAAATCCAACCCACTAACAGAACAAATGCTACCCAAGTAAAAAGCTCAGGTGCAAGTCTGACTCAAATCCAACTCCTCTCACTCATGTATTTATCCAACTTAAATTTGAAACTACTCAATGTTTTAGCTTTGATCACCCTACTAGGCAGACCGTTCCACTCATCAACTACCCCTATTACCAATGTTCATTTACATTTTATTAGTGCTTTACATTTATTTGGTATTTTTTTCTGCATGTAAATCTATATTTAAGCTGAGTGACCCCTGAAGTGACCTAGAGTCCTTATGGAGGGGGATTCCCCTTCCAAACAATAACCTCTCTTCCCTCTCTCCTCCTCCCTGTCTTCCATTCATCAACAACAGCCATCAATAAAGGTAACTGTCATGTTGAATGTTCATTCTTTTGTGCAGGCAAATCTATCTTTAAGGTAAAAAAAAATTGTTGTTGATACTTCTGGGTGTCTGGAATGAATTAATTGGATTTACATTGGGTGGCCCGGTGGCCTGGTGGCTAAAGCTCCCGCTTCACACACGGAGGGCCCGGGTTCGATTCCCGGCGGGTGGAAACATTTCGACACGTTTCCTTACACCTGTTGTCCTGTTCACCTAGCAGCAAATAGGTACCTGGGTGTTAGTCGACTGGTGTGGGTCGCATCCTGGGGGACAAGATTAAGGACCCCAATGGAAATAAGTTAGACAGTCCTCGATGACGCACTGACTTTCTTGGGTTATCCTGGGTGGCTAACTCTCCGGGGTTAAAAATCCGAACGAAATCTTATCTTATCTTATTATTTCTTATGGGGAAAATGGATTCGAAAATCATCAATTTCGATAATAGTCACACTTCCAGGAACGGATTAATTATGAAAAACGAGGGACCACTCTAATTTGGTACAAATGTAGGCTCAAAAGAAAGCCACTGATTATTGAAATCATTATGAGCAAACTGATCCTAAGGCTTACATGGTACTTAAAGCCAGACCTAGTACAGTAGGGCCCCGCTTTTCGGCATTCTGCTAATACGGCGATGTCAAATTATGACCAAAACTTTCTATACAGCAAGCGGTCTTTCAAATGCGGCACGCGCCACCAAGTTTGTTTACATTCTCCATGGGCACATCTCTGTATTATGTAATAATAATCACTCTTGGGCTCATTAAATGTCTAATTTCACATCAATATAGACATTTTCATTAATCTATCTGATATTTTCTTCAAATTATATAAGAAACACGTTACATAGCATATAAACATGCTTTTTATATGCTATGGAGGGGTGGTTGCCAGGCGGACGGAAAACATTATGTAATACTAATAATAATAATCACTCATGGGAACAATAAATGTCATACTTTACATCAATATAGGCATTTTCATTAACCATCTATGATATTTTCTTCAAAATTATATAAGAAACACATTACATAGCATTTAAACATTTTATGTCTATATACTAATGGAGGTGTGGTAGCCGGGCGGAGGGAAAACATTATGTCACTCCCCTTAATACATAACGCTTATGTTTACACTTCTAGGCATGAATTATTCATTACTTCTCCCTTTGTTTATGATGGCATCTAAACGTAGCTGTTAGAAATGATTAAACTCAGTATGTCGATGGTAATAATATGGCTCTGGGACACATTAAATATTGTGTAGCTATGTAGGTAGGCCCTAAGCAAAACAAAGCTGAAGGGGGTAGGGGAGTTTCGGTGGGGGGAAATAAATGGGATTAAATCTGGAGTATCTGAGAGAGTTAGAGCAAAGGAAGGGGTAGCAGTAATGTTGAAGGATCAGTTATGGAAGGAGAAAAGAGAATATGAATGTGTAAATTCAAGAATTATGTGGATTAAAGTAAAGGTTGGATGCTAAAAGTGGGTCATAATAAGCGTGTATTCACCTGGAGAAGAGAGGAATGTAGAGGAGAGAGAGAGATTTTGGGAGATGTTAAGTGAATGTATAGGAGCCTTTGAACCAAGTGAGAGAGTAATTGTGGTAGGGGACCTGAATGCTAAAGTAGGAGAAACTTTTAGAGAGGGTGTGGTAGGTAAGTTTGGGGTGCCAGGTGTAAATGATAATGGGAGCCCTATATTGAACTTTGTATAGAAAGAGGTTTAGTTATAGGTAATACATATTTTAAGAAAAAGAGGATAAATAAGTATACAAGATATGATGTAGGGTGAAATGACAGTAGTTTGTTGGATTATGTATTGGTAGATAAAAGACTGTTGAGTAGACTTCAGGATGTACATGTTTATAGAGGGGCCACAGATATATCAGATCACTTTTTAGTTGTAACTACACTGAGAGTAAAAGGTAGATGGGATACAAGGAGAATAGAAGCATCAGGGAAGAGAGAGGTGAAGGTTTATAAACTAAAAGAGGAGGCAGTTAGGGTAAGATATAAACAGCTATTGGAGGATAGATGGGCTAATGAGAGCATAGGCAATGGGGTCGAAGAGGTATGGGGTAGGTTTATAAATATAGTGTTGGAGTGTTCAGCAGAAGTTTGTGGTTACAGGAAGGTGGGTGCGGGAGGGAAGAGGAGTGATTGGAGGAATGATGATGTAAAGAGAGTAGTAAGGGAGAAAAAGTTAGCATATGAGAAGTTTATACAAAGTAGAAGTGATGCAAGGAGGGAAGAGTATATGGAGAAAAAGAGAGAGGTTAAGAGAGTGGTGAAGCAATGTAAAAAGAGAGCAAATGAGAGAGTGGGTGAGATGTTATCAACAAATTTTGTTGAAAATAAGAAAAAGTTTTGGAGTGAGATTAACAAGTTAACCCTTTGACTGTCGCGGTCGTATATGTACGTCATAGGAGATACCGTGTTTGACGTATCTATACGCATAAATTCTAGCGGCTTCAAATCAAGCAGGAGAAAGCTGGTAGGCCCACATGTGAGAGAATGGGTCTCCATGGTCAGTGTGCACCATATAAAAAAAATCGGGGAGCCAGTGGTGCATTGTGGGAATACCATTTCAGTCGTCCTTTTTCAGCATGTCTAGCGGTAAGAAATATGTGACTTCCCTGCAAATCTGGGACTCTTCTCTTCCCAAGTGATGCTCTAACACAGATGGAAGTGTCAATGAAGATCAATTTCATGATTTCGAGGAGTTTGAGACCAAAAGCAATGGAGGAGGTGGAGGAGGAGGAGGAGGAGGAGGAAGAGGAGGAGGAGGAAGAGGAGGAAGAGGAGGAGGAAGAAGAGGAGGAGGAAGAAGAGGAGGAGGAAGGAAGGAGGAAGAGG